AGTCTATCACTTGCATTTCCTTTTGACTTGTATCTGTTTGCATTTTCTGTCCATCTGAAAAGCACGTATGTCGATTTAGATGTCACAAAATAAAATCTGAAAGATGGCTTCCATCCTTTTCTCATTTTCATATTTTGGGTTAAAATCACTGAAGCAGCAAACCCTGCAAATTTTGTTCTGCAGTAATTCAGTGGTGGATAAAATGTCAGCAAAGATTTCTCAGACATTACGCCCTTCAAATAAGTTCATCTTTATATTTTTTTATATAATATAGGAGTATATCATCCTTATCTTACTTAATGCTCAATGTTTTGTTTTTCTTTCTCCAGGACCTTCCAGGTTCCTGCGGCATCACTGACCTCCACGACGCTCTGTCTCTATCCGAGCTCGGCGACCGGCGCTTGTTCCTCATCGCTACCCACGTGAAGAAGGGCGAGACGGAGCTGAGCTCTGGCGTGCAGGACGCTCAGGCCCTGATCTCCCAGTTGGTTTGTGACGGTTTATGAAACGCACTGTTAACTCCTGTCACTTAATCACATTCAGTGAGCGCTTTGCACTTTTTTTTTTTTTTTACTTTACTGTTTTCACTACGTCTGTAGGCTAAACCTCTGGTATTTATTTCTGGTGGCATTTCACATTTGTGAGGAGAAAAAAAAACCCTCACTGTGTTTGTTGGCCTGTTAAATTTTTTATTGATTTGTGTCAAACTGGGAGAACACAAAACCATTATCTCTATTTTTGTCCCAGCAGGTGATGTGTGGAGCCACAAATGTTAACATTTGCAAGACTGTTACTGTGTTTTAAATCTTTAATTCCTTCTAATGTTGTTTGGAGCTACAGTTGCAGTAGTCTTGAAATCAATCTTAATGATTTAAATGTGTCAGCGTATTTCATACTTGCATACAAATCTCAAGCTGCTTAAATTCGTCATATCAGCTGAGACAAGTGGCCCAAACTAACTTTTACTGACTGAGATCTCAAATTAAAACATAACATTTTGTGCTTTTGGACTGTACACCACCACAGTGAACATCAAGTCCAGACTTTCAGCTTTAATTCGTGGGTTTTAATAGAAGTGCTGCATGAATTGTTGAGGAATTACAGCCATTTTTATACACACCCCTCCTTCTCCATACATTTGTCTACCCATTATTCTGGTAAAAGTTAGTCTTGGTTTAATCTGTTCTAACATATATATATTTATATGATTTTTGACAAAGTGTGATCGGGCTTTCCTGGATTGTACACTAGCAGTCTTGACTTGGTTAGATAGTAATGCTGTTTCGTAACCATGGAAAGAACTCTGGGATCATTCTCACTGATTTTTCCTCCCCGGTGTTCCAGGCCTTTAGGTTTTGCTGAGCTGGCCGATACCACATTATTGATTTGGCCTCTCCTCAAGTGTTTGCTGTCTCTCTCTGATAGGTTTAGTTTGGTTTTCAGATCAATGAAGACCTTCTCCGCTTTAATCGACACTTCTTTGGACCTCATATTGAGAAATCCAGTGAACGGCCATCAGATGCAAGTTTAACACTTGGAAGCAACTTCAAATCTTTTATCTGCTGGATTTCTATTGAGTAACGAGCAGGGAATTGTTCATCAACTGTCCAATTACGTTTGAGACTGGACTGTGCCAGTCTGTGAAGCCCTTAAATTTAAGATAAAAGTCTGTTCTTCAAACACATCTGGACTGTTTGATTTAAAATCCTCTGTGGTGGTGTATGGAAAAAGGCAAAATTACAACAACAAAAAAATCATGAAGGGTTTAACTGTTAAAATGTTAGAAAGTGACACCTT